TTTTATCTTTTACTGTATTGAATTTTAATTATTGTAAGCCGCCCAGAGACCTCTGGGGAGTGTGGGCAGCATATAAATTGAATAAAATAAATAAATAAATAAATAAATAAATGTATCAGCCCACTTGTTTTTCATATGATTGGCATTCAAATCAGATGTAGTGGATAACTAAAGCAGCAGCAGCAGCCCTCTGGTGGCTAAACAGTTTTGTCTGCAGAAAGACAATTACTGTTACTGAATTTTGAAACATATTAAAGCCCAACAAAAGAGGGAAGATTTTTTTTTTAAAAAAAGCGCCTTGCATACAGTGCCTGGATTGTGTATCTCCAACACTAATGTGCTTTCAGTTCATCATTACAGCACTAGTTCTCTCTCTCTGCCTTCGGACCTCACATGGCATGGATGCCCCATCATACTCTCTCATCCCTGCACATAACAACAGGCATGCAAGGAAGATGGGTAGACAAGAAATATGACACAGAATTTTCTGATTTTTTTTCTTCATATGGAAGAGCATTTAACCACGGGAGCCCCCAGCAACAGACTAAACAGCACAGTGAAAAATATGCCGAAGGTGAACACTAATGTAATTGCTTTTTATTTTAGTTACGGCTGGCCTTACAATCCCTGCTTGTTATTATATTTAAATATATTTTGACAATCTGATATTTTTAGATTTAAGGGGGAAAAAAGGGAATTAAAACTGCTATGGATGCAGAGGTACTCATGGCTGCTTTAAGTTAATCTGCAGCAGACAGGAAAATGAGATTTTCAGAGGCCAAAAGGAGGGTTAAGCAGTAATTACGAAACACTCATCCTATGTTTTCCTATGTGAAGCTAAAAAAGAACAAAAATAATTTATATAGAGTACAGTATCTATTTTTCATGCAGAGGCTGAATTCTCAAAGGGCTGCAAATGAGCATCTCAGATTCATTTCCTCTCTTTCCGCAGCAAAATGTGAAACTGGCAAAGCCTTTTGACAGGTAGAATCCAACACCTTTTTAAGAAGCCCTGGGAGAAACGCTTTCCTCTGCAAGTGGGAACAGACGACCCCCTTATAAAGGGGTTGGGTTTGAAAGCACAGCTGTGTGCATGCACACAGACACGCACACACACATGCATTGCACAAACACACACACACACATTCTGGACATACGCGCTAGTTGCATCCAATGTTTTTATGGTTTATGACCTATGTATCTTCTACTCCAATCAGTATAAACGGGCTTGTCCTCCTGTCTGTATGCAAGCAATAGGTATTCCAGATGAATGGGCACAAGGCTTTAATTCTCCCCCCCCCCCCCAGTTCCCAGAATTTGCCAAGAATTCCCCAGATAGAATTCTGGGATCTTTAACTCACAGACACCTACACTTTGCTCACCTGTACCAGGGCCTATCACTGAACATCCATGGCAATCTGGGGCTTGTGCCTCCCTGTTGTTAATGTACAAAAAACCAGTTGGAAGTACGGGCTCTTGATGGCTCTATGGTGCTTTCTGGGAGTCTTAGGTTTTAGAAGGTGTCCTCTATAGAGCTTAATGGGGAGTAAGACTATCACTTTCATAAAGCAGCAAGGCAGCAACCTGGGGCCAGGACGTCCTGTTGCTTTTTTTGTACTTTAACTTTTGAGAT